AAAAACGTCTACGACAAAGACGCACGGATAATCCGATCACCGGTTAATCGAGGCCCGGATAACCGAGGTTCTACTGTAGTTAATGTTTTTTTTTTTTTTGCTCTAGGCTTACTTAAATTTTCATGGCTCCATAGGAATAACTATATCTAGTTTGAAAAACTATTTGATAAATAATCCAAATGAAGAAGTCAACTTTTTTCACACAGCAGCTAGTCCTCCCTAACTCATATTGATTCTACTATGCAATGAAAGAGTTGAAATAAAAAAAAGAAAATACTATTTCCATCTTGAAAACAGTACATGTCAAATAGTCCAATGTTTTGGTGCCCATCTCTGGTTACATGAGGGCTGGGTTAAGATGGGGGGAAAGGGGTAGCTAGGGCTCTAAAGTCAAGACACACTCATGGGCCTTGAACCTCTTGCACCTGGTAGTCTATCATATCAACATGGTATTGAACATTTTGACATTTGCATTTTTTGAAAATACACAGGATGTCAAGAGATTTAAGAGCTCTGTAGCTCTAGAATGAAGTTTCTTGGGAAAGGCCTAGCTCCATGGCCAGAGTTAATGTAAATGACCTTGTATGCATGAATGTTAACTAATAAGCAAAAAAAAAAACCGTGCCACAGTTTGTGACAATTGAATGGACATTTGGAGCGCAACCTCCCAAATGAGTTAAGATTTGCTAGACTTAGGACAGGATGGAATGTCAACCTGATGAATTTGGAGAAGAAGAGCTCAAAGTCAGGATAATTTCCAAAGAGATGAATTTACATGTTGCAATGGAGAAACTTCCAAAGAGCAGAAATTTAGCATAAGACTCACCATCAGACCACTGTGTGACAGCATCAATGTTGTAGGGGATCCCTCGCCACATGGACATGTCACGTGGGTAGTCCAGTTCCACCTTCCCATGTTCTTCATCAAATCTTAATCAAAGAAATTGAAACTTGTAATACTATCTAACAAATAAAGTCAGAAAAATGGGTTAATATTCCATTTATCAGTTCCTGAACTCACTGATGAAAACTTGCAAGCTATTTTTTATGCATTCTGGTAAAAGTCCTACCAACCCAGCATTTAAGCTTCAAGGGGAGGCCTCCCTTGCAAAAAAAAAAAGGTTATTATGCAAGTTATCTGCATGAAATTTGGTATGCATACACAGTAAGGTCAGAGCTTTTCAGTTATGGTCATATTTCTTCGGTAGCACACTGGTTGCCATAGCGATATCATCCATTTTTGAGGAACACCTTAGGGGCAAAGTATACTCCAACTTATCAGAGGTAGATGAACAAAACTAAGTGTAATAGTCAGATTGATAATTATTCAACATTTCTATGTGATAAAATTTTCAAAATTCATGCATTTTCTATTTTCCCCCATTTTTCATTTCAGGTACACTGAAATGACCACACACTCCTTGCTATAAATGTTATAACAATGGCATTTTTAGTGACATAAAAAAAACTAGCAAATGGAAACATGCACAAATGTGTCTGGAATGACTTACAAAATTTGAAGGGAATATCTCTAGGCATTCCAGAAATACAGTATCCCAAAGTTCGAAAAAACACTTTTTAAAGAAAACCAAATTTGAAGTATCATTTCACTAATTATGGAGTAAACAAAAGGGACAATGATGGTATATCACCAACTATTTGGAAGAGGATGCCTACAAAATCATACTTTTTTCAGGGCGATGGGAGCTGAAATTTTACACAGTTTTGACAAAATGGGATTGTACAGTACACATTTTTCTACTGAAAATGATGAAAATCTGAAAAAGTGAAATTTTCACCAAAAATTAGAAAAATTTGAGGTGGGTTTCCCCTTAAGCAGAAAAAAAAGAGAAAAAAGTACAGCCATGGGGAATGAAAAATTAGATGCAATGCAAATACACCAATCCTCAACATGAAATCAAAACTGGGCCTATTACAGGGTGAGCCATAATATCTCATGCAAAGACTTTTGGTTCGTGAATATTGATTTTGAGACACAGAGGCATCAGATTTAAAAAATATCATCATTGCAACATAAGCTTCACATAGGAATTATCAAACTTCAAAGCAAACATCTTTGGCCTTCACACAGGCTGACAATCTTCCTCACCAGCTATGGATTGCAGCACGCACCTCTTCCATTGGGAGATTGCACCTAGCTTTCACAAGGGAGCGCTTTAGGGACTCCGTATTTAGATAATTCCTACTGCAGACCATCTGCTCCAACTTGGACCAAACATAGAAGTCCATCGGATTCAGATTGGGTGAGAAGGCAGGCCATTCAGCAGTGGATATGAAGCCTGGCAAATTGTCCTGGCACCAGTTTTGAGTGGCGTGGGCCTTGTGGGCTGGTGCTGAATCCTGCTGGAACCACCATTCCCCATTTTTGAACAAATCATGTGTTAGGGGATGCACATGAGGCTCAAGAATATCTGTTAGATAGTTCTCCTTTCTTATTTTGACCCCTTGGTCCACAAAAACCTGGGAAGTCTTGCCCATGGCAGACACTCCAGTCCAAACCATGACCGACGCTGGATGTTGTGTCCTCTGCATCTTATTGACACCCTCAGGCAACTCCATAACACTGTTTCCATAGACCCTGTTGTTTTGGGTGTTCCACTTAGCTTCCACATGGAACAGCTTCTCATCGGAAAACAGGATTTGATCCTATTCGCTAGGCATGAACTGCTGTAGCAGAGCCTGACATTTTTCCTTTCTGGCAAGCTTGGTCCATTGGTTGAGCATCTGAGTCTTTTGCATCTTCAAAGGCTTCAACCCAAGATTCTCCTTCAGCACTCACCGCATGGTTGTGTGCAAGGTATCCATTTTGATCACCGGCCTGAACCTGATCCATGCCTTCACATTCTTGACAAGCTTTGCCATGTGAACAGAATGTGGTTGGCCAGTATGCTTCCTGTCACTGACACCTCCAGTCTCATGATAACACCTGAGAGTGCGATAAATGAAATCTTACTTGTAACCACTGGGCTGGAGTTGACGAAAGGTGTTCCATGAGGTTTTGGCCATTCTGGAACAGCTTAATCACAGCTGCACACTTCAGCTTCAAGGCATCCATAACGCAAAATGTAAAGCAGTACAATATTGAAGTTTCACCCAAGCATATATACCAGTTGGACGGAACAAATGGGAAAATAACAGATTGAACTGAACTCTCTTGAGCTCTTTTAGCCTATATAGATGTTTGTATGAGATATTATGGCTCACCCTGTACATAAGCAACACTTCACTGGTAGAAGAGAACCTAGATGTGTAGGATTTCCTGACACCTAATTTGACTTGACAGTAATTGCTATTCAAAGATGAAAATGCACCTTGAAATATTCAAATAGGCAGGTCTCTCAGAAAGCAGGGGGTCCACTTCTCTCTGAGCATGTATATCATGCAAGGTGCTCAAAAAAATCAAATCAGGTGCTCTGTCTCTGTTGGCCACATGAAACTTGCTAGACTGGTAGTACTTTTACCAGAATGCAATAAAAATAGTTATTGATCCAAGTGTAAAGATCTAACTGTAAAAGAACAAAAAGGGATGAGAAGCCACTCACCGCCAGTACATTGTGGAGGAAAAGAAATAGGTCTTGCCATTGTGACCCCAGACCATGGCACCATCAATGTGGGAGAGGTCACTTGGTAGACCCAAATCTGTCAGGGGACGTGGATACCCATTCTCCTTCTGGTTCCCCTCAAACACATAGTACTCTGCATCTGGAACAGCAAATAATATCCAGACAGGATGTGACATGTGCAGCAAAGTAGAAATGTACAACACATGCTTAAATACAACTAGCTATACCAATGAAAAACACGATCTTCATGTCATGAGGTCGTTCATAGAGGGCATCCACATGGGTGAGGTCATTTGGGAGACCATACCAGAATCGCGTGATCTCAATTGCTTCGCCCTGCACCAATCCATCTTTCCCCACACGCCAGAAGTACTTTAAGAACAACCAGATGCATTGCATCATGGAACTAAATTCAACCAATATTATAAGTAACTAAATCACATACAGACAAAATTCCATTGCAAATGTTCATGGGCCTATCACAGATATGGGTGACTTCTACACAATAAAAAACTACTGCCACATTTTCACATGCAATGAGATGCATACTTCCCTCTTTTTTGTGCAGCAGAAACTTGTGCTATAAATGTCCAAATAATAGAAGAATGGAGTAAAATGTAGTTAATGAGGCTTTACATAAGTCAATTGCCACATATACTTTATCTTACAGCATGAAAGGGTGGAAGGTGAAAATTCAAAACTTCTGACCAGCATCTGAGGAGATGTGCTTATTGATGAGGGTTTCAAAGAGAGACCTGAGGGCTATAACTGGTTAATCCCATAACATTCACAAAGTAACTATTAATTCCTAATTCATTTGAATTTTAGGATACTTGTGAAGCCATTCAGTCAGCAAAAAACAAAGTGGTAGATATACCCCAATATGATACATTGTTAAGGCCAATATTAGAATACTGCTCAGTTTAACTTCAATCCACACACATGGATATATTTGAAGGAGTAAAGGAAACCCCTAAGATGGTTAGGCAAATTGGGGCTCCTCTCTGAGGATAGGATATTTCCTATTGACCTTGCTTAAATATATACCATCAATGAGAGACCAGAATAAGACATTCAAGTCAAGGAATTTAGTACAGTAGAATAGACAGGACATTCACCCACAAAGATCCATTTTTTAATAGGAGGCAGTAAAATTACCTAAGCCAATGACAAATAGGAAATTGAGACAGGAATTTTTTACATGTAAGATAATTGAGAATGGAACTGGTGGCCAGCTTTTATGGTAGATGTTTAAAAATAAGTACCTATTGGCACTGTACATACATTTAAGAAAAGGATGACAGATCATTTTAGGGGTGAGAACAGTGGCTCCATGTATTACACTTTGGAAGCAGTTAAGTAGGTATAGGCAGAGTGAGAATGGACCAACTCTATAGGAGTGCGATATTGATATGGGGCTCTTTCATTTTCAAGTCTATACTATTCCTAAGACAAATTCAATGCTGATATTTCTTGAGTTTAAAGTAAATTTACAAACAGCTGGCTTCTTATGTGGCTCATACCTTTCCTCGAAATATGAAAAGCTCTCCCCTGATTACAGATATGGCATCATATGCCGTATCACAACTGTCTGGCTTCACATCCACTGGCTTTGGAGGTGGATTCACTGGGGTCGTTCGTGGAGTTGGAGGACTGGTCGTGGGTGGCACTGGTATGCTGGGACTGCTTGTTGCAGGGTTGGGTGGGAGGGGTGCCCATCGTGTTCCATCTTTCGCTCCTATAAATGCATAAAATGAACAACACCTCTATGATTTAAGGCTAACCAATTCACAGTTGTCAAGTCAAAATTCAATATCAAAGCATGACTGATGCTGAAAATCAACTCATTTTCTGAAATCCCTCATGTGGCAGAAAGAACCAAGCCAATAAATCACTCAACACTTTATTTTTTAATTAATGAAACAATATGTTAAGTGACAAGACAGGACAAGAAAAATTAAATGAAGTAGTGACCTTGCTCATCAAAGAAGCAAATGACTAGACTTGAAAATGTTAAAATCTTGCACTTCTCTTCTCTTGCACAAAAATATGCACTTCATTAATTATTGACTTGAAAACTGAAAAATGGTCAACATGTTTTCAAATTCAGTCTAAAGCAGATGGAGATGGCAAGTGGTTCAAAAAAATGTCAGAAACATACCATAGAGCTGCTCAATGCCATAGGTATCATCCTTGGGGAGGGTGTACGAGTATTCAAGTCCCTTGTACCAAGGGAACATGAGGGCAGATTCAACTGAGGAATGTGATAATCCAAGGCTGTGACCAAATTCATGAGCTGCTACTGCAAAAAGGCTGACTCCACCTATTATTTAAATAAAAAAGCCTTTTAACCTCTACATGCCAAATATTTCCAAATTCAAACAAAGTATGAAAGTGGAAAAACACTAATTTTGCCATATTTGAACAGCATGGAATCTTCCTTTCCCTTTGTGTGGAAAGGAAGATTCCATGCTTTTAAAATATGGCAAAATTAGTGTTTTTCCACTTTCATGCTGTGTTTGGATATGAAATTGGTCAACATGTAAATGTTAACTAATGCTCCAAGAAATTGAAGGATTTTGAGCACTAGGAACCAAATGACTGGATTATGATGCAAATCAGTCCTTAGTGTAAGTTAAAAATTGGATCTAATCATATAATTACATAATACTTGGTAAGAAAAAAAAATTATAGGGCAAAATGGTAAAAAAAAATGATTAACCACCTCAAGAAGCAAGTAGGCTGCATGAAGATTACTAAGCCCCTAAGAATATGTGAATGAATCTTTGTCTAATTCTTTCTTATGGACGTTGAGTAGAGACTTAAATGTCTATATCCAAGTGTGTTATCCAGAATAGTGCCTCAGATGTCAAGTGATGTATGTCCTGGAGGCTTCCAGAAAATTTTCTCTTTGAGCAATGTGTCATGATGTGTTGCAGGGTTTGATCAGGGGCTCTGCTATCACATTAAGAAGATGGTTTAATTTTCCATCTATAGAAGAGGTGGCCACACCTCCCATGTCCAGTGCAGATACGGTTGATGGTAGACCACTGTTTGCGGGGAAGTGACGCTCCTAGAGGTTGTTGAGTTGGCTCCAAGACTAGGTCTCTGTTTGGGACATTGGAATTATTCCAGGCATTCCTCCATTGGTCCTCTAGGCTGCATGGTGTTTGATGGAGAGTACCTGCAGTAATGCAGAATGGCTTCCTTGATTTGAGACAAGGTGGTGGTAGGTTGTCGAGGTCTTCATGGATGGGGAGGCCTCGGTTAGTGTAACAGTGATATTCCCTTGACACCACAGTTTCCTGGTGAAGAGATGGAGGCACTACATTTGCAAGCACTGGGAGCCATGGTAGCGGCATGGGTGTGAGGGTTCTGGTGATGCTCCTTGTGGTTGAGTTGAACTGTACGTTGACCATGTTCACATGTGTGCTCGAAAGCCATGCTGGACAGCAATACTCGGTGGTTGAGTACACTAATGCGAGGGATGCAGTGTGGTGTGTTTGCGCATCTGCCCCCCAAGATGATCTGGCACGTTTCTGGATCAGGTTGACCCGGTTTATCAATTTCTTGCCCAGGTCCTGCAAGTGCACTCAGTAAGATAGTGTCCAGTCCAAGGTGACACCCAGGTAGCTGGGGGTGGTAGTGTTGGGTACCTCACAACTACAAAAGGACATTCTCAGGGGTCGTTTGGTTTGGTGAATGTTGAGGTGGAATGCTGACACTGGTCTTTTTCAGGTTGGGCCAGAGGTGCCAGTAGTGGAAGTATTCTTCTATCTATTGGAGGTTGGTTATGAGGGTTTTTTTGGTGGTGTTGAGGTCCATGCTTTGTGTAGCCAGTGCAATGTCATCTGTGTACACAAATTCCTGGACACAGTTTCGGGCAAATTGCTGGTGTACACATTGAATAGCAATGGGGCCAGGATGGATCCCTGGGGGACTTCATTACTGAGGGTTGTGAATGAATTAATTAAATCCTAGAACCACAACCCAAACCAGACAGCAAATGTCAAGAAATAGCTTGTGTTGATGAAATTATTGGGGAGACCTAACATGCAGAGACCTTGGCCAACAGAAAAATCGATATAGGTATATTTTTTTAAAATGACAATTGGATAGGTTGATGAACAGAAAGGAGTGAGAGGAAGGAAGATACCTTTGCCACCAACAGTGGGGTGGGAGGCCCATTTCTCCTCATCATCAAAGTGGGCATCCCCACCCCGGCCAGATCCTGGGAAGAATGCATGGGCCAGCACTGTCCCTTCCCCATCAAATGGGTATCCATCTTCATGATAACCCCTATTGAACAGCACATGATATATACTATCCATTTCTCTTCTCCATTGCTTCATTGAGATGATTAAGGAATCTCATGACACTTTCAAATTCTTTAGTGACACGAGACTACAGAACTTTTTTCCAAATTTTCTCAGAAAAGACAAGGACCAGCTGAAAATTTCTCAGCCTAACTGGGAATGGGACATTCAATAAAGCTAAAAAAAATTTTGAGCAACAAAACTATTCATTGTCCTGTCAATTACCAAGTTTAATTGATATACTAACTTTATTTTTCGTTTCCCATGCATTTTGTTTCAAGGAAGATCACATATTTGTGAACAAAGCTGCCACACGCACATCATGTGTTGCATTGAGTGTCATTGAAGACTGCACCTTTGAACAGCTTGTCCACCTACCTTACCTATTTAGCCCCTTCTGACTTTCACCCCATCTCTCAGATGAAGAAGACCTTCATGACAAAACTTTAATGACAGACAGGTTGTGGATGTTGTGAGGAACTGGGGCAATAAGCAGGAAGTATTGTTTTACAGCAGGGGTCACGAACTCATGGCCCGCAGGCTGCATGCAGCCCACAAGTGCTCTCAATGTCGCCCACGACCCACCTGTGTACACTGAGAGAAAAAACGTTTCAAACCCATTACACACAATCAGGGAAAACCTTCAAACTTTTTTCACTTTAGCCCGCAGAGAGGTCTGACCCTGACGATGCAGCCCACACACTAAAACGAGTTTGAGACCCCTGCTCTACAGGAATGGGAAAATAACTTTTTACCACCAGTGGAATAAGTGTAATAAGTCCAAAGGGGAATATGTTGGGAAGTGTTGAGTTTGATTGCTCTACACTTACTCCTTCCCACTTAGGCTGAGAACTTTTCAGTCGGCCCTTGTATATTGTCATCCTACACTTTTCTCTGCTTTTCATTCTTGTTGATATGAGTGTCTGAGGTAGTCTACCCAAAAATTTAAAGGGCATAAAAATGAGTAATCAAATAAAGGATGGCAGATTCAGAAGTATAAGCATATTCTCTTGAATAAGGAAGAGTTAACCACTTGGGGTCCATGCCTGAGTTATCTTGTGTTGGCCTCATGATGAAGGATAGAAAAAACTTGGATGACAGTGCTGACACATTCAAAATACTTGGACCCTAAAGGGTTAGGGATACTGGCAAAAAAATTCAAGAGACAAAGACAGAGTAAAAGGATGACTGAAGAGTAACTTTCCTACTTTGCTTCTTCCTTTATTTCATCAACTGCAATACTTCATGTCACTACTTCCCAATGCAATATAAGGGCACAAGGAGCCAAAAATTAAGCTTGACACTTTTCAATGCAAATGCAGGGATGATTGGGAAGTTTCCCACTTCTATGAAACTGATTATTGTAGTAAAATATTATATATCCATGTGAAACTGATGAAGAAAGGCAGTGCCTATGCATCCTCTCAGTTTGGGTATCCATGTCAGGGTACCTCTTCAGGCCTGTTTCAAAGATAGGGAATTTTTTTCTCTAGGAAACATTCAAGAAATTCCAGCAGGAGAGACTGTTATGATTCAAGCTGTGTTGAAAATGGATTAAGTAGCTCATCTTGTCATCAGCATCAGAAAATGCCAAGACATCAAAGATGGCTCATTGAGTCATTATTCTGAATCAAAATGGGAACTTCCCAAACATCCAGTACTTGGGGGCAGCAACTAGAGACATCAGTGTACCTGTGGAAGGAGACAAGGATGTCTGCATCATTGTCAGATGAATGGTGGCGGATCTCGGTGAAGGTCAAGCGTGAGGCAGATGACCATAGTTCAAAAGCATGCTCCAGCTCTGTTCTCACCTCATGTTTTCCAAGGTGGGTTGTCCACTTGTCCACCCTGCAATAACCAACAATCTCATTCATCTTTGGTGTCAGGAGTTCAACACATATTAATTTTAAAGAGTGAGTACCCTGAGGTACAAGTATCAAGTACTTTTCTGATTTATACCTCAGAGCAATTATTAATTTCCACAATTAAAAAGTCCAAGCACTTATTGAGTATCATTCCATAAGGTCCTACACCATAAACTAATTTGCAATTTAAAAACAAACAAAACAAAACAAAACTGCACAAGATTAACAGTGCAAATGAGAACAAGGTCAAGAGGCTTGAGTTAACTTCCAGACAACTCAAGATTGCAATTTTGAGCCCAGGATAAAATGGGGTCTGTTTGGTTTCCTCCAATCATATTTGGTCCTATCAAAACCTGTTCCCATGAATTAACTAATTTTCCCTATTTATTATTCTGACAAAATCCTCAAACACTACAAAGGAACTGGAAGATGTCAATTTTTTAATGTTCCTGTCGACTTTATTCCAAGCATTGGAGAAGCACATAAGCATCAAATCTCGCAATTTAACTTAAGTTTTTCCACCAAAGTCAGTCAAAAAGAACTAAGCGACAAGCTCCGGAAAAATGGCGGAGTCAATCACCTTTACGACCTGTAACACAGTTCAGATCTTTTATCTCAGAAAAACTCCAAAGGCTGTTCCGCAACTGGAGAGGCCACAGAGATAAGGCTCGGCGCTAATTCCTGCCGGCTCGTAAAGGACTCAGTCGAGGTCCAGAAAGGGTTCACTTCATTGTAAGGATATTATGATCCAAAACAAAATAAACGAACCGGAACGAACCAACTTAAGTCAAAGCTGAACTAAACTAAACTAATATAACAAGAGACTTCGCAACTCCATCTCAGTATGTCATATCAGGTTCAGATATAGAGCTCTATCTATCCGAAAGTTCGGGGGCAGGATTATTAACTCCCCCACCTCCCGACCTCCCCTTCGAGACGATAAGCTCGGCTAAGCCCAGGCCGTTAAGATGTAGCCCCTCCAGTTGCGATACAGCCAAATCGTGCACTCAGTGAAGGACTTCTTGGAACGGGTGCAGGTTAGTAAGTCCAGTATCTTCACAGGGGCTGAATTCAGTGGCGTAGGCAGGAAATCGGCAAGGGTTGAGGCCAGGTAGACACCCCAACCCGACACCCAGCTCCACTACCCAGAATTTACCTTTTCAAAGAAATCATGGTCTTCCACCTTGGGTCTGTGGCATGACATCAGACTTTCCTCAAAGGGGCATAGCTAAAATCGGAATTCCCAAGGAAGGTTGAAATATACCTGTCAGCGACACTGACTGGGAAGCCGGGGGTTCTAACCCCCCCCCCCTTCCTTACGCCACTGGCTGAATTGGCCAATGAGGTCTGCCAAGCCAAATGACAGGCATTCGTACAGTTCGCAGCAGCATCATGATACTGACAGAAGCCTAATATGCAACTCGAGTGAACGACTAACACTGGTACAAGGAGATTATAAAAGAGGGCAGACGAAATTCGGGTGACTGCACAAGTTTGTCTGACTTTCAACCAATCTCATTCCATACATGTCAACTAAATATGTGCCCTTATAAATGATATCATTTAATCCATGTGATGCGTGTCATCAGAAACTACTCTTACCTACTTGGTTCTCTCAAAAGGCTGGACTCTCGTACCTATTTTAAGGTCAACATATGTCGAAACATTCCACCTCCCCCCTCCCAAACAAACCGGCACGGCGGTTTTTGCACAGAAACGGAAACATTTAACCTCATCCTCTTGAGAATCTCATAGCCTGGACTAGCAGATTTAAATAGAAAGAGACTTGATTCAGAGATGGAGACGGGGCAACTCCTTCCAGTCCATTCTTTCTTTGTTAGGTGCGAAAACGTAGGCGAGGTCCCCATTTCCTCATCAAACACATCTAGTGTAGGCTGAGAGAAGCTCTTTAAGAGCCCCCATCTTCGTCATTTTTTTCAGGTCGGTACAAAAAAAAAAAACCCAGCCCTCTCAGGCACGTCCAACGCAGTACAATCCAGATGGAGTGAATGCAGCAGCGGAAACAGGGACAGGAAGACCATCATATACAACGTGCTATGCAGGTCCATCCTGCGACCATCGGTGTCAGCAGAGGCCATCCATTAACCACGTGATCTCTCCAAACGGTCGCTTACAGCCCACATCCTGGTCATCTGTGGTTTCCTCCGCCTCCACCCCCACGAAAATCACGTGCTTCGCGACGTTTCGCGCCCAATAGGTCGCTCGGTTTCCCCCACTAAACAAAATGAGTCATTCATTTTATCCAAGCAAACGTGAAGAAATTCTAATACGACGTGCTACAACTTTCATAATTTCACTTTCCAACTTTTCCGCTTAATGGGTATGAGGTGGAAAAGAACAGAAGGAACTTTCGCGATATATCATGAAGATGACCGAGGACTTCAGGTTTATGGCAATCCTGCCTCCAGTCATTTAAAAGGAGTGGATAATAACAAAAATCCTCTTCCCTAGGCCTCAAAAATGCGAAATGACTCATCAAATAATTTAGGCTTTTTTTTCCCGTGGAGACGTCCCCACTGTTTTCAGGAGTAACAATGTCCATGAATATTTCACCATCCTCCAAAACGCTGAAATTTCAGGCAAAAAGGCCTCATACTTCGGTTCCTAAAAATACAGCCGCCCACGAAGACCCACCCGGGAGCTTTCAAGAAAGTTTCCCTGAAAAAAGTTCATGGGCAAAACCCGCGACTATGATCCCATATTTTGGGGCCGACACCTTGTTCTCAACGACAGAATCTGAAACGAATCTGGAAACTCGGGGACGAAGTCGCCGTTTATCGGAAGATAAAGTCGTCGTTCAACACACTAAAAATGGCTAGACACGGCTGTTTCTTGAAGAACAGTGGCCATGGGTGAAATTTCAGGCAAAATAACGTGGAGTCCCCACTCTGTAACCCAATCCCAATCTGCAACTCCCTACCACAAAATAATCCGATCCTAGGTTCGTGAAGAGATCGTGTGCTACGAAACCTGCCTCTCTCCTGTCAACACTTGTTTATTTTACAATCTCGAATATGAGTTTTTCTTTTTTATATCCGACAGGCGGATTGCGTATCGTAAATAATCTTCCTAAAATTAAATCCAGACTGTGCATATGGGACGGAAGAGAAGTTTCCTGAAAATGAAAAACTCGGCATAGGATCAATATACAGGGATGTACCAGGAACAAAAAAAAATTCCCTAAAAGAAAAAAATTCGGAATCGATTTTAAAAAAATCGCACATGAATCACGTCAGAGCGTCAGTTAAAGATAAAATATTCCTGAGTTTTTCAGGCTTTCTAGGGATGAATTCAGTATTTTAGGTGGTGTGATTTGGCCTACTAGTTTTCCCTCCTATTAATACGGAACGCGCAGACGGGAGCTAAAAGAGTCGGTGAATTGAAACAACTTCTAAAGCTTCTTCGCTCATCTTTTCCATCAAAATTGCATTCCCAGTTCCTGTGGCTCACATTCAAAGCTTCGTTGGAAGCTCCTGACACCCATGTGTGACCACGGACTAAGTTGTCGCTTCATCCATGTGCAGTTTAAGCAGGGATGAATTCAAGGTGTATGTTACTCGCATGATCATGTGAGTCAGCTTCTGCAAGTCCCGACTTCACGAATCGACTCACGATCGACCTGGAGCCGAGGGAGCAGGCATGCAAAGACCGACGAAGGAATGGAATGAAGGGGGTGTTGGAATGGAATCCATCCAGGATTGACGAGAGCTCGGTTGCCGAGCCCGGCACGCATCAGGTCACCATGTAGAGCGGCAGAAACCGTTACCAAACTTACATATCCAGATGGCTTAATTTCCGTAACGAGTGAATAGAACATGGCGATTATAATTAGTCTGAGAATATTCCCAGGACATGCAGCGGGATCCCGCCAGAGTTTTCCAGGCTTTCCACTTCTTTGCAAGACGGTAAACACCGTTGGATCCAGTGTTTGAGAAATGAACTGTGAACATAAATAGGATGTCTTGAACTTCTTCCCACTGCGCTACTCGAATATTCGAATGTTTCAAATAGATAAAAACCATAAACGTAGCGTGGATAGAAAAAGTGTGTGGGGGGGGGACACAGGAATCCTGGGACATTATCATGCATTTCATGAGTCTTTTTTTATTTTCTTGAAAAGTGGGCCCCTGGTCCCCCGGCGCTACGCCGCTAATACTAACGATCTATGCATACATGCTATTTCGCCTATTGATAAGATTAAAAAATGACATCATTCCAAGAATTCCAAGGCATTTAATTAATTTTAGGGGCTAGGTCAACTGACAATGGCTCCAGAAAGCAAAATGCGCATGCCAAATGTTTACGTATATCTGGGCTTATTGCTTAAATGCGTCTGGTCAACTCTGCTATTCCTCTTTCTTTGTTATGCCGAGAGCAATGTGGAGCAGAAAAATTGATTATAGGTGCCTTAGTTATTCCATGAAAATATGAATCCGTCTGACCGGCGCTTACGTCACAGATAAAAAGTTGCAAGCTCTTTTTGTCGTCACACTTGCACGGCGAGGCCCTTGGTCTGGTGAATAATTGCGAAGGAAAGAATGGAGTATCGGAGTTCCTGGTGGCTATCAGCTGATATAGGGAAGGAAGAAAATGGGTCTCTCGATTTTTACTTTTTTTTTAACAGCACCGTTCATGTGAAATTTTGAGCTTTCATGTACTTGACATTGGAAATTGGAAATATACACGGCAATAGAAAATTGCTTAAAGAAGGGTAACTTTCACTGCAGAGACAGAGCAACAAGGAGATAGCACAACAATGTTAACTGGAAAGCTGCAAGGGTAATAGGGTGTGGCCTACATAAAAGAGTGGCTCAAAATGTTAATTTCTGACTTCATTTCCAATTCATGAACTGCGATTGACGACAGTATTTTAGAACTTTTATCCAGGGAGTCTGCAAGGGCCTTGCTTGGGTTGAGACGTCATGATATGAAATCATCCCAGCCCCAGCAATGTCCTTGAGA